CTTTAAAGAAAAACAGATGTTTTGAGAAAAAAAAAAAACTGAACAAAACTGAAACTAAATTATTAAAACTAAACTTGCGGGACTTTATTCATGTCCTGTGGCAAAATTATTTTTATTATACTTTAAGTTATCTGCTTGAAGTAGGCTAGGTCACATTTATCAATGGTAAGTTTTAGTCTAAGTTTACATCAATAACAATGTGCATTGTCCTTTACCATACAAAAAAAGGAAGAAAAAAAAACATTATTATACACCATAGTAGCCGCAAATCTTTTTAAATGCATTAAAAAGCAAGCACATATCTTAGCCTTACCTTGAGTTTGTTCACATTCTGCCTGTATTAACATACATGCTGTATTTTATTATAGTTCATTTTGATGAATTAGGTCTAACTGACAGCTTTTTCTTCTTTTTTCGCGGTTATGCGGCATTATATTTCACACGCATATGCAAGGTGACTGAAATTGAAATTAAAATACCAAACATACTGAGCCATTAATTAAAAAACAAAACAACAGTTATAGCTTCTTTAAAGGAGAACATTGACGTTTTGAAAAAAAAACAAAAACTGAACTGAAACTAAATTATTAAAAATAAACCTGCGAGACTTAATTTATGTTATGTCCTGCGGCAAAATTAGTTTTATTATACTTTCAGTGATCTCCTTAAGGAAGGTCAATTTATTTATTTATTTATTTGCTTTTGATGAAGCAGCATTCAACTTAAGCTCTTTAGACCATGCCCCTGACCGTTTCTCAGTGTTTCGCCGCAATATCTTTAAATAAATAATTTATTCAGGCCTAATTTCATTATTAATTAGTTTTCATTATTCGTTTATTATTATGTACAATTGTTGAGACATAAAATAAGATAGTAAAATATAATCAACAACGAAAATTAAAACAAAAACAGAAATAAAAACGTAAATGAAAATGTCTTGTCTTAGTCCTATCAAAATAGCAAACACTGAACATCTCTCTATTTAGGCTAAAAGACTGCTTTATTTATTTATTTAAGACTACTTATTTGTACTGAATGTTTGTGCTTTCATGTTAGTTGTCTTTTATTTCTTCAATTCTATTTTCCAAAACTAGTCCTCTTTGCACTTAAAAAGTTTACAATAAAGCGTGTTAACAAATTTTAAATGATTAATGAAGGAATTATAATGCTTTCACTTATTGTTTAATCTCATTTACAAGCACAGTAGCATATTTAAAGCTGCTGTAAAGGCTATTTCTGTCCGTTCGCATCCCGTCCCTTTGCGCCCCCTGGCGGCTCATTCACAAGCTGCTGTCACATACTAAAAACAGAGCGGCAGTTATTTCAAACGGCGGCGGTATAAGACGCGGCGGTAATAGTCACTTTGAACTCTCACCTACTGTACACACACAATATTGAACATGCACAAACACACACACTCTATCTCTCTCTCTCACACACACATACATACTCACACATACACACACTCACACACACAAACAAACACTCTCTCTCTCACACACACACACACACAAACACACACTTTTGCTCTTACACACACCTACACACTCTCTCTCTCTCAAACACACACACACATACATCACTGCTGCTGACTGCTCCTGCAGAGGATTCTGCTCAGTCTTCAGCTCAGTTTCACTGATGATCCAGTATAAATAGCAAACCCAACCCCAAACCTAAACCCAAACCCAGGGCAGAGCGGCTCAGTGAATTTGGTCTGGACTGAGTGGATGAGGCTCATTGTGTCTCTATAGATGTTGTAGAAGATCAGAGTTCCTGCACTGTGATCCACAAACACTCCTATTCTCCTGCTGAGCGGCTTCACTGGGAGATCAGTGAGTTTGTTATTGTGCCAGAATGAGAATCTGGAGGAAGAGCAGCTCAAACTCCAGGACTGAGCATTATATCCAAACCAGCACTCAGCACCTCCTCCCTTCCTCCTAATGCTCTTATATGACACTGATACAAACACACTATAATCTCCACTCCAGTCAATCTCCCAGTAACAGCGTCCACACACACTCTCTCTGCACAACACCTGAGGATCATCATCAAATCTGTGTGGATGATCAGGATACGGCTGATTCTCTCTCACACGCTTCACCTCTCTGTTCTCCTCAGACAGAATGAGTTGAGTGTGTGCTGTGTTTGGATCCAGAGTGAGGAAACAGACATCTGAACACAAGAACACACACATTTATAACCACAGCTGTGTGTGTGTGTGTGTGTGTAAGAGAGGGAGTGTTTGTGTGTGCGCACATGTTCACTGGTGTGTGTGTGTGTGTTTGTGAAAGTGTGAATGTATGTGTGTGAGTGTGTTTGAATGTGTGTGTGTGTGTGTGTGACAGAAAGAGAGTGTGTGTGGTTCGGAGAGAGAGAGAGTGTGTGTGTGTGAGACAGAGAGAGAGAGAGTCTGTGTGTGTATATGTGTGAGAGAGTGTGTGTGAGAGACAGAGAGAGAAAGAGTGTGTGTGTGTGAGACAGAGTGTTTGTGTGTGTGTGTGTGAGACAGAGAGTGTGTGTGTGTGTGTACACGTGTATGTACGTGTGTGTGTATTTGTGTGTGTGCGTATGTACGTGCGTGTGTGTGTGTGTGTCTGACAAAGAGAGTGTGTGTGTGTGCGTATGTATGTGCGTGTGTATGTGTAAGCGCGTGCATGTGAGAGTGTGTGTGTTAGGGGTGTAACGATATTAAAACCGAACCGAAATATCGCGATACACCAACCACGATACGTATCGCGAAACTCTCGTGGCGTAACGCGGTACTCTCACTCCCCCTGCTGCCCATTGTTGAGGTTGACGTCAGTTGTCTCTAACTAATTGAACCAATTTAAACACATTTTTATTATCACATTTAATTAAATTGTTTTAGTAATGATGAGGTTTTGTTCTAAATATTATATTCTAAAGTTAGTATTTTAGTGCATGTCATGTGACTTGAGTGAGCATCACACTCGTTACTACTGGACGCAGGATGGCTGCTTCACATAGTACTGAGATTGCAGATCCCCCAGACACATTTAAGTCATCTGTGAGGAAAGATTTTGGTTTTCCAGTTGATTACAGGAATAGAATTCGTGTCGTAGACAAAGCACACGCCTGTCTGTCTCAACTGTTTCACGAAACTTACTTGTAAGGAAAAACATTTAAAAAGTGTGGTAATTTCACAATGTGAGGGTGTAAGCAACAGAACTGCCAACAAGAGTGATTTAATGTACAAAAGTGAAACCAGAATAATGCCCAAATATACAAAAAAAGAGAGAAATATTTACATTAATAAAAATAATATAATAAAGTAACAAATTCAAACAAAAGTATCAAACAAAAATTAGTTAAACTCGAGCAAGGGGGTGATAGTGAAGACAAACAAAAGAAATAAATATAATAAAACAATTCTAAGTCATGAATAACCCCTCTTACCTCGCTAAAACTGATGAAAAGAAAAAAAAGGTCTTCAGCGCCGCGCGCCGCATTATTCCCTTTACTGAATAAAATAAACAAAGATGACCTTCACCTCTTACCTGATGTCTTTAACAATACATTTTCTACGTGTTTGCAAAATGGAAATCATATGACATTTTCCCTATTCACCTTACACTAAGAGTGAACTTGAGGAGATACAGCTATATTGTCGGGAAGGATATACAAATCAATTGAATATACAAATCAATTGAAATAAAAATTTACAAAAGTCACAAAATTACTTAAAGTGGGCAAAAGTAATGCAAAATAATTTTACCCAAACGAAAGTTAAGCAAAAACAATGAAAATCATAATCATGTCAGAAAAATACACAAAAAACGAGATCAAAGGAAAAAGCGCTCTCTCTCCCGCTCTTCCTGACATGCTTTTCACATTCCTGCGCTGCGTCGCCAAATGATGATAGATCGGTCTCCTGACCAATCAGCTGTCATGAAGGCGGACCTACAGAAATGACAGGCATCAGCTGTCATGAAGGCGGACCTACATAAATGACCGGCATGTAGGGAGCGGGAGAGAGAGATTGGGAGGCAAACATACAGCCGGCTACAACCCTAATATTAGTTTCAGACACAACTGCAATGTATTTTACTGGTGAATATGTCATGTAAAAAAACTTTACAAACACATTGTATGTATATTTTTCATTAATTTAAACGGAAACCGCGTCAGGTTACGAATGTAACCATTGTTCCCTAAGGGAACGAGACGCTGCGTCTCTTTAGGAGACACAATGGGATACCATCCCTCTCTTATAACCTTCTGAAGCACAGGTGTAATCAATCCAATGTAATTGGCGGGACGCAACGTGCGTGTGGCGTCAGACCGAATGTATAAAAGCCCCACACTCACAGTGAACTTCAGCTTATATCTCTCGAACGGAGCGCACCAGGTATGAAAAAGTATGGCAACGCGACGTAGCGTCTCGTTCCCTTAGGGAACCATGGTTACATTCGTAACCTGACGCGTTCCCTTTCGGGAACTCTATGCTGCGTCTCTTTAGGAGACACAATGGGAACGCTATCCCAAACACGCCATAGTTTTACATGCCGGGGTTCTGGCACAAGCACACTTTTCTTTTGGTTTAGCCGCAACCCCAATTTCTCTATGTGAGCGAGAACAACACCTCGATGTTGAACCGCTAACTCCCTCGATCGGGCTAGAATGAGCCAATCGTCGAGGTAATTGAGAATTGGAATCCCTTGTAGCCGCAGCGGAGCCAAAGCCGCGTCGACGAGTTTGGTAAATGTGGGGGTGAGAGTGCTAGGCTGAACGGAAGAACCCTGTACTGATAAGCCTTGCCCCCGAAGGCGAATCTGAGGAACTTCCTGTGACTTGGAAGGATGGAGATGTGGAAGTATGCGTCCTTCAGATCTATCGTGACAAACCAGTCCTCGGACTGTATTTGTGACACGATGGTGCTGATAGTCAACATTTTGAACTTCAGTGTTTGTACGGAGCGATTTAGCTGTCTTAGATCTAATATCGGACGCAGCCCTCCATCTTTCTTTGGAACGATGAAGTAACGGCTGTAAAACCCTGACTCGAATTCTAGAGGAGGGGTATGTTCTATGGCTCTCTTCCTCAGAAGAGATTCTATTTCTTGTTCCATCACTAGAGCCTGCTCTGGCTTCACTAGGGTATGGAGCACCCCGTTGAAGCGAGAGGGGCGTGAAGCAAACTGAATTCTGTAGCCCTTCTCTATGGTAAGCAGGACCCACTGCGAAACATTCGGCAGCCGTTTCCACTCTGCCAAAAATTTCTGCAGGGGTACCAGTCCCTCGAGACTGGTCTCTATGTTCCCCTGAGTAGCTAACTCTGGGCACTGAGGCGAACTCACCACAGAAGGCCCTTGATTTAACTGCTCTTGGACCCTCAGTAGAGGGGGCGAGTCCACTAACGTCACCACTTTTGGGATGAAACGTTTGTGGATATCGCCGGGGGTCTCCACGCCCTGAGGCACCAACGGTGGGAGGGTTGGTGGATAGACCCCCTGTGGGCAACGAGGAGGTGGCCTTTGCTCCTTGTTGGGGGCTGTCCGAAGAAGTCCCAGTGCTAGGACTTCTTCTGAGGCCCAGACCGTTTCACAACGATGGTCCTCGGACCACCGTATGTCACTGTCTTTGCCTCTTGAGAGCGTTTCCCACCCCATTTCCTTTTTGGGGGCTGACGGGAAGCCACACTCTCTTTTTGCTCGGCTCTATACCGGGCAGATGAGCTGGTTGACGGCTGGGGCTGGTCCCGCTGCATAGCCCCAGAAGGATGCCCTTTTGGTCGAAGAAAGCTCCCGTAGGAGCCCGACCTCTTTTTCGCCCGCTCAAACGATTTGGCGACCCGATCTACAGAGTCGCCGAACAAACCCGCGGGCGAAATGGGAGCATCAAGGAAAATTCGTTTATCTTCCTCCTTGATGTCCGCTTGATTCAGCCATAAATGTCTCTCCGTTACCACCATGGCCGCCATAGAGCGGCCTAAAGATCTAGCTATTTCTTTGGTGGCACGGAGAGACAGGTCCGAGGCCGGAAGTACTTCTCTTACTGTATCGAGCCCCGCCCCATCATTATCAAGGGCTTCCTTCAGCAGGTCCGCCTGGTATGCCTGCAAAAGTGACATTGTGTGCAGACACCCAACAGACTGGCCTGCTGCCGCATATGCCTTGCCGACTAACATCGATGTTAATTTTACTGGTTTTGACGGCAAGGCGGGGGTCTTCGCCGACGATGCCTGAGGTAGCAAATGGCGCGCCAAATGCTCCTCCATTTTTGCCATTGTGCGGCATCCGTGCTCATTCAGACCAGCAACGGCTGAATGTATTGATCCCTGCTGGCTTATAACACGGGCAGTGTATGGATTTTTCCAAGTGTAAATGATCTCTCTTTGGAGATCTTTGTTAAATGGAAGACCCCCCCCCCCCTCAGAGGCCTGTCTCGTGATGGCAGGATGCGTTCATCACACAAACCAGCTTTTTTGCGCACTTCATGCCTCTCTACTTCCCAGTTAATATTATATTTAGCTGTTACATTGGCCAGGACCTCTGGCAGCTCATCATATTCGGGGCATAATGGGGGAACGTCATTTTGGCCCCGAAGGCCCTCCATACTCTCGACTCCCTCAGAAGCCGGGAGGCGGAGCAGCCGCCCATCAGCGCGAGAGGAAGAAGTCGATGAACGGGCTTCTAGCTCGCGCTGACTGGACCTCGATCTCACAGTAGAAGGAGGAGAAGAAGCCCTCGAGCTTGTCTCCATCCCCTCTGCCAGATCGAGCTGCGATCCCCACGCCATTAATCGCCGCTCGGCCTCAGCACGGGCGGGACCAGTGCCGCGAGGCACACCTGCCGCCGGCTCTTTATCAAACAGAGCGCGGCGACTTCGCAGCACTCGACCAGGAAGTGAATCGCAATGCACACAGCCACCCCCCTCAAGGGCTGACTGTGCGTGCTCCTGACCGAGGCACTGCACACACAAATCATGCGTGTCCTGTTCTGTGAGGAAACAAGGACATGGCGGTACACATGATCTAAATGTCTTTTCCATTTTACAAATTTTTAAATAGAAAATAAAAGTGTGTGCTTTGATTCAGTTTAAATGGTTTTTGTAGTGCCTTATCAGTGCTGTGAGTGCTTCAAAATCAACAAACTCATTCGCAGAGTGAAGAGAGAAAAAGCTGAAGTTCACTGTGAGTGTGGGGCTTTTATACCTTCGGTCTGACGCCACACGCACGTTGCGTCCCGCCAATTACATTGGATTGATTACACCTGTGCTTCAGAAGGTTATAAGAGAGGGATGGTATCCCATTGTGTCTCCTAAAGAGACGCAGCGTAGAGTTCCCGAAAGGGAACCATCTATTTAACTGAAACCATAGATAATCAAAAATGAGCGTCTGTGTCTGCACAGCGATCAAGTCTCTCATCGGAGAATGTGGATATTATGGTGTTTTTGAAGAAGATCTTTCACTAGTCTACACTGCAGTTATTTATATAATTTTAGTTTACTTAGTTAAGATGGCTGCACTAAAGAGAATTTTTTTTTTTCTGACTAGTCTATATTTGAGGTATTTATTTAATTTTAGTTGTTTACTCTGATATCCTGACTGTACTAAAAATGTAATGAAAAAGTTAATTAAGAAAAAGTTAAGATGTTCTTTTTATTAAGTGAATTGTCTCTTAGCATTGCTGTTAACATGACATCAACCCTAAACCCACAGCAAACAGAAACCGAACCGTACCGAACCGAACCGTGCCTTTGGTGTATCGTTACACCCCTAGTGTGTGTGTATGTGGGAATGAGAGAGTTTGTGCTTGAGTGTGTGTGTTTGTGTGTATGCATGTGTGTGTGTGTGTATGTAGTCCTACATTTGCATGGTCCTGCTGTAATCCTCGTGCGTCCTCCATGATCCAGACTGTAAACACACACAGATGGAGAGAATGAGTTGTTAAGTTTCCCCCTCAGCTAATAAGCTAAAGCTAGCACTGAGCTGCTCAGCTACACGCTCCAAACTCTTGAGCTAAAACACACAACACTTGTTGGTTGAGCCGGGATGCACAATGAATGTAACACAGTGCGTTCTTTTCCTCTGCTGTTGGTGAAGCGAGCGCAGATACTGCTCATGTTGATGGAGACACCCTGCTGCAACATTTATTTATTACAGTGATCACACTTAGCTTTGCCATCGTTCTTCAGCACATGCAGCCTTTGAGCACATGTTGCAGTCCATCTCTAAACTATGTTCAGATTATTAAAGCTGCTCGCCAGCGCCCAAGTTCCTGACAGATTAGCAAGTGAAAAATACACATGTGCACAGAGAAGAGGAATCCAGATGTTGATTTTAGAACAAGAGTCTGAACATTAATCCAAGTGTCTGATTCCAGAATCTGAATCCATCTTCAATCCCCAACCCTATTCCTGACCTGATATTGTAGGATTCTTCAGCAGAAATGGAGGAAGAAGTTTCTCTGCTCAGCTCAAATGCTGAAACTGTACAGTGTGTCCCGCTTAATGTCACTGTAACTGAGCCAATACACTCCAACATTTACAGAGGAGATTCATTTCATACTCAATGATTTGCTCTTCATAGACATGACTGGAATACTCTACAAGCTGTATCTTCTGTCTGTCCTCACCCCATAACCCTCACAGAAAACTGAAGCTGATCAGAAAAGAGCTTTCTAGTGTCTTTTGAAAGCCATTCAGTGTAAAAGCACAAGGCCAGTGCTGCTCCACATACTTGAGTTTGTTCAGTGTGTAGTTTGGATCCTCCAGTTGTTCAGAGAGCAGCTTGACTCCTGAATCTCCTGGATGATTGTAGCTCAGATCCAGCTCTCTCAGGTGTGAGGGGTTTGAAGTCAGAGCTGAAGACAGAAAACCACAGCCTTCCTCTGTCACCATACAGCCAGACAATCTACAAACACAGCAATAGTCCACATCACACAGTTGGACAATCACACATCTCTTTGTGTTGTGAAGATGCTGACTGCTGTTTCTGCTCATGTCAACAGCAGTGATGAACACACACATCCTGATCAGCTCTCCTTGTTGATCGAGCCCTCGCATCAGCAAACACACACACTCACACACTCAACAAGGACTCAACATCATCTGTAGAAGTGTACAGAGCAAAGACATTGTTCTTAATACACCACATCAAGCTGTAAAGTCTGCTGTGAGGAGGAAGAAGACACACTTGAGCTCAGAAGATCATCTTAAAGTCATGTATAAAACACAACAGGAAATGAGCTGATTTCATCATTTATATTGTGATTCTGTTGTGGACTAAAACAAAATGAGCTCAGACAAACACAAAGCCGCTCTCTTCATGTGTTCATCACCTGACCCACAGTCACATTCACACTGATGGTCCATTAGGGGACTTTTATTCTGTCAGGAGAGAAACACCTGATCAATATTCATGACTGCTGACTCTCCTTCACATTCAGCCTTTACAAGATATTGTTTTAGATGAGCGAGTAATCAGGATTATTTCACACACTTTATCATGAGACTTTTATTTGTTTTCAAGAAACTGAAACTGCACAAATATGAGAGCAGCTCAAACCTTCAGCAGGACACAAAACAGCTTGACTTTAGCGTTTAACTCTGCTGCTTTCACACCTCCAGATCCACTGTTCTGTTCTGAAACAGGATTAACACTGGTATAATGTTTATTTGTGTTCTTGCTGCGCTTCACTTTCATACGGAAATCTTGAATGTTGACACGCACAGACAGACACAACCTGGGGCCTGTTTCAGAAAGGAGGTTAACTGAAAACTCAGAGTATTTTAACCCTGAAATGAAAGAAACTCTGGGTTTTCCGTTTCAAAATGGCAGGTTTATTAAACTCAAGAAAGCAGGGTAAGTCAAGCCTGTTTCTGAAAGAGAGGTAACTTTAACTCAGAGTCAGTTACTGTGGTAACTTACTCTGTGAATCTAACCTGGTCAGAAGCAGGTTTTATTCTCTAAACTCTGTGTGTCTAGTTTCTGTCTGTCTCCTCCCCTTTTTTAAAGATGAAGCGGTATTTCTCGCCTTAGCCTTATGTTTCCACCCACCTATTTTAATGCTCATTTTGGATACGTGCATAAAAACGATTGATAGAAACGTCATGATGCACATAACTTTTTAAAATATGCATAAAAAACGTGCATAACTGAGTAGGATAAACTTTTATTCGATAGAAAATGTGCGCATAAACTACGATGGAAACACTTTTACTGAACAAATTACAGTATGTACATTAAAAAAAAGATCATGATCATATGATAATGAAAATGTGTGTGAATGGACAAACAGCAGGCTGAGCACACTGCAACATGTCTTAAATATTGTTTTAGTCATTCTAAAATGCCTTAACTGTTTCAGTATTAGTGTATATTATTAATTACCTCCGAACGTCTGGTGCATGTCAAGAGTCTCCGCGTCTCATGGCTTTAGACGCCCCCACGTGTTCATTGTGTTTCAGCATTGTCTTCTGACATCGAGGCGCAAGTACATTAATTAGGCTAAATAAAGAATTAATTGACGCAGCTTCTTCTACCACAGTAAATTTTGTTTTTACTGTTGATATTTGGTGCCAGTTTAATCAGAAAGTGACAATTTTTTTCTTTTTGACTCGTTGGATGGAATTTTATTCGCATCTTTTATGCAATATTCCAGTTTTGCACATAAATTTATGTAATATATTTGGATGGAAACATAGCTATTGCCTACATTTTAGTCACACACAGAAGAACTGTACGAGAATGGCTTATCCTTTTTTAATAAATAATTAAATTAAATTCACCTTCGACATGCACTGTAACTAGATTAATGGGATTATTATTCTTTCTAAAAATTATTTTTAGTACTGCTTACCTTCTAAATGTTATATTAACCTCTATCACTTGATCAATAAAAAAGGCAGACACACAAGTGCACTGTTAAATCATTTAAAACTAATAAATGTATAAAAAAAGTTTAGAAAAAAATATATAAACGTCACAAATTACATTACTTATTTTATTATACTTAAATATTTAAATACTTAAAAAGTGAAATTAGGCATTAACTTGAGCAGCTGTTTTCCCACACTAACTGTCTCTTCTTCACTGATGGTTGCTTCAAATATATACACTCATATTTCCTATAACTTTGCATGAGAACATCAAGTTCAGCTGGAGAAAGAAATGGTGATCTCTTTTATAAGATATTGCCATAGTCACTCGTAATGTCTGCGCTCCATTGATAATGCCTTTTTAAAGTCACGGTGTGCGCGCTTAACTCTGAGTTGGTCTACTCGAAGTTGATTGACCCAACTCAGATCAGCTGTTCTAAAACCGAAAACTCTGAGTTTTTAATCTCTCGGTAAATCAACTCAGAGTTCAAGTTTAAACTCTGAGTTGTTTGAACCTCCTTACTGAAACAGGCCCCTGGTAAAGTTTTCAAACAGTGAACTAAGACTGCAACTATTAGTGAAATCTATATTAAAGTTCTTCAAATATGATTTAGATTTACAGTAATTGTTTTTCATGTTTAAAATCTGATTTATTCTTGTGTTTAAAGCGTCTGTCATTCCTCTACTTCAGTGTCTCAGACTCATTCAGAAATGATTATTAAAGAGCCCATATTATACATAAAATAGGGTCATATTTTGGTTGTAAAGGTCTCCAACAACAGTATAAGATGCATGCAAGGTCCAAAAACACTTCCATGGTCTTATAATCTGCATGTATTTTACCTAATTATCCCAGCGACTCCCTTATGAATCGTCCAGTGATTCATTTGTTCCCAAACCCCTCCTTAGCACGAAGCTAATCTGCGCTGATTGGACCGATGACAGTCTGTTGCGATTGGTTGACACTAACTGCTTTCAGCCAGAGACAGAGCGAAATGCCCAGCAGCTAATCAACAAAATAGAAGTAGTCAGAGTGTATACACGCTCGACAGTGTGGAGTTTAGCTGCCAGTGGATGAATTTAAATACAGACGATGGACTTGAAAATACAGACGACTAACTATTTTATTGAGCAAAAACTCCCAAGAACTGGCGAGGAGCTCTCCTAGCTTGTCACATTCTGCTCTTTTCACAGACACACACTCTCCCGCTACTCTTGTAGCATGTAGTTTCCAGAAGTTTCCAGTAGTTTCCAACTGCTTAAAGCTGGACTTATGCTGAGGTTTCATCTTTGGGTAGAGACTCAATTATATCCATCTGCAGTGTGACTTCAATCGACCAGCATGTTTGTGTGTGTGTGTGTTTGTGTGTGTGTGTGGGTATCTGTGTCAGAGGGCGGGGCCGCAGGTTTCAAATCTCCCGGGTTTGCGCGTGCACGTGAATAACTTGGTTTCGTTAGTACGTCATGGCGAAACACCTAATGACTCGGTATCAAGGCGACTTGTTTGAAGCACTATGAGTCGACTCTTTTATAGATGAATCAACCGTTTTAAACATTGTACACTTACAGATTTAAGCCTTGGCTGGATACTTCACTTCACTTAGAGCTGTGTTACACACTACATGGAGGGGCATTTTCAAAAACCCATAATATGGGCTCTTTAAATGCTGGATTAATGCACAAGAAAGTTTGGCGAACACATTTTGCACCATTTCAAATATATTATATGTGCGGCTGTATAAGTCACATACAGCGCTCAGCATAATGGAGTACAGCCCTTTCTGAAAATCAAGACTTTCCTCCATTTCTCAGTCAATATACGTATAATGTATTCTGGTGCATTTAAACAAAACACATTTATTAAACATTTATTTATAAACATAATATTTTAATCAGCAAACATATTCAGAATTTGAAAGACAATACAATTATATTCAAGCTAAATATTTAAAAAATATATTGCAAAACAATATACTTCAAAGTTTCAGCTAATTTCTTATATTTTTTTGCTTCTCTTGATTTTTCCTCTTTTTTTAATTTTGTATTTAATATTTTTCTATAACACATAAATTTGAGTGTATTTTGGACCGTTATCATGAGTTATTTTGTTAGATGAGTTCCAGACTTGGCTAATCTATTGTATATCCACAAATGTAATATTGTAGAGCTTCCTATTTTAAATATGAATGTAAAAGAGAGATTAGTGAGGGGTGTAATTATATATGCTGAGCACTGTATATTGTTTACCCAGACTGTTTACATGGTCACACAGCAGTAACACAACAAGCATTGAGTTTGGGCTAGCTTCTGCAGATGGACATTGCTGTACACTGCCCTTGATGGGTGAGTGGGGGAGAGTCTGTTGTCTCTCAGGTGTGAATTATTCATGACCATTGCCACTCACACATACAGCTGAGAGCACCCAAAACAAACTTAACAAAATGTAGATCATTGTAATGTTTTCTCTGAATGAGAGAACAGAATAATTTTCACATAATTGTGCAGTAAATATTCTAGTCTACAAGACTGCTTACTCTAAATTCTTGTTCAGGCACATTCAGTGTGATTTTAGGTCTTATTTCAGCTACATTTTTCCTCAAAAACCTAAAACTAACCACACATAATATTTGTTTTCTAAAAAACACAAACATGTACTCCTTACCCCAGGTGGAAGAGTTTGAGCATCTTGGGGTTTTGTTCACGAGTGAGGGAAGGCTGGAACGTGAGATTGACAGGCGGATTGGTGCAGCGGCAGCAGTAATGCGGTCAATGTATCAGTGCGTTGTGGTGAAGAAGGAGCTGAGCCGAAAGGTAAAGCTCTCGATTTACCAGTCAATCTACGTTCCTACTCTCACCTATGGTCATGAGCTTTGGGTCATGACCGAAAAGACAAGATCTCAGATACAAGCAGCCGAAATGAGTTTCCTTCGCAGGGTGGCACTGCACACTCTTAGGGTGAGGAGCTCTGACACCCGGAAGGAGCTCGGAGTAGAGCCGCTGCTCCTCCACATTGAGAGAAGTCAGCTGAGGTGGCTCGGGCATCTGTTTCGGATGCCTCCTGGACGCCTACCTAGGGAGGTGTACCAGGCATGTGCCACCGGGAGGAGGCCTCGGGGAAGACCCAGGACACGCTGGAGGGACTATGTCTCTCAGCTGGCCTGGGAACGCCTCGGGATCCCTCTGGAGGAGCTCAGGGGTCCAAAATCACCTCAGACCCCTGAGGGTTAACTACAGGTATAGTATGAGCAGTGTGAAACATTATTACAGATAAACCATAATTCCTGTTATCTGGGGTTTAGTATCACCCAGGGTTAACATGTTCAAGCATGAAAAGCTCTAATATGAAACTGTCTGACTGTAGTTATTGTTTAGTGGAGAATCATTTACCTCAGTGTCTCCAGTTTACAGTTTACAGTCTTCAGTCCATCAGAGAGAAGCTTCAATCCTGAATCCTGCAGGTCATTGTTACTCAGGTCCAGCTCTTTCAGGACACAGTTTGAGGATTGTAGAGCTGAAGACAAACTCTCACAGCACTGAACAGTGAGATTACACATGACCAGTCTGAGAAAGAGCACACATTTAATAATACGAAAAACCACACTGTTAATGTGATCTGTCTGATGTGACAAAACAAAAATCAATCAATCAATCAATCTGGTGTTTGAACTCAGACCTCAGTGTCTCCAGTTTACAGTGTTGACTCTTCAGTCCATCAGAGAGAAGCTTCACTCCTGAATCCTGCAGGTCATTGTTACTCAGGTCCAGCTCTCTCAGCACACAGTTTGAGGATTGTAGAGCTGAAGATAAACTATTACAGCACTGAACAGTGAGATTACACATGGCCAATCTGAAAAATAACAACATGGGTTACGTTTACAGTGTGATTTTCAGTGATTTATTTGATGTAATAAAACTTTATAACAAAGAAACAAATAAAATAATCCATCAGGTGTTTGAACTCAGACCTCAGCATCTCCAGTTTACAGTGTTGACTCTTCAGTCCATCAGAGAGAAGCTTCACTCCTGAATCCTGCAGGTCATTGTTACTCAGGTCCAGCTCTCTCAGCACACAGTTTGAGGATTGTAGAGCTGAAGACAAACTCTCACAGGACAGATCAGTGAGATTACAGCCCTGTAGTCTGTTTAGAGGACAAACACAATATTTATGTGGTCATTGGGACCTCATTGATTAACAATGCTTGCTCATAAAAAGGACACCAGCTTTCCCCCTTATGGTTGTATGAACAGTAGTGTAGCACGATATACTGATATTATAAAAGTATAGCGATACCCTAGAACTCAAAACAATATGATTCTGAATTTTTTTAGTACCGGTACTTTTATTTGACAGCTGTAGTTGTGAGTGCTTGTCAATAGGGGCAGTGTGGGAGCCGTGCGCTTCTTCTACAGCAGGGGTCTTAAATTTGTGACCCGATACTCATGGAACGATTGTTTGTGCACGGCCCGCAAGTTTGTTATGCATGGCACTTTACAGCTTTGTTTGTTGAGCTGAACAAGCTAAACTTGACGCAGGCAGAGAAACATTTTCCAATGAGTGAAAGTTACAGCAGCGTTGCCATGGAGTGTTTTCCTTCGTGCCTGTTGGCTGCCTCATTTCTATTGGGCACATGCGGACATTCATCCCAGCACGCTTCATTCGCAACACTTAAAAAAAAGTTGTGTCATTATAAATATATAAATGTATATAAATCAGTGCTTAATTTGAGCAGGATCTTGCGGATTATGTTCTGGGAAATGTCAGATATTTGTATTAGGGCTGCAATAAAGAATCGATTAAACCAATAAAAATCAATTACTTAAAGCGTTGGCAGTGAATTTCATAATCGAATTTCAAAGTTGATTCGTTGTGTCGCACGACTCGTGGACATTTGATTATTAAAAAACACTTAGTTCAGTGCGGAGCGGAGTGAACACGGTCTCTCGCTGATGCAGAGTTCAGCGCCTTATAGACAGGGATGAGGAGGAAGGAGTTCAACTGCAGGTGTGTTGGCTGGCAGTGAGCCAGAGAAAAACGTGTCATGTCATCACAATTATGCAGCATTTTAACCTCCTAATGCTTATTTCATGTTTTAGATAAACATTTACATGTAAATACAACAAGCACTAGTAAAAAAATAGTGAAAGTAACTATAAAGTTGAATCTACTCTTCTCTAAGTTCACCAGACATTCACTTGCATGTATTTTGTTAACGCGCTGAATCCTGCGTGTTCTGCTTTTATGAATGAATCAAACATGTGGACGCAAGTAAACATGGCGACACTCATCTAACGTTATAGATCACAATCACTTACACATAATTGTGAATTGGGATAACAGGTAGCTGATGACAGGATGAGCAAGTATGTGACTATGTTGATTTAAAAAGGGTAAAACAAAACTAAGTAAAAGGACTACATCTGTCATACAGCGCTATTTTGGCTGCAGTGTGTCACGTGACAAACATGATGTATCGCCACAGAAACATTAAATGGGTGGTCCAGAATGTAATTTTAAGGCTTGGTTGTGTTTATAAGATGCAAAGCAATGTGTGCTCATGTTTCACTTGAAGGAAATCGCGTTATTTTTTTCATATATCTCACTTTGATTATACACAGCTACTCAGCTAACATGAAAACGACTGTCATATTACCTAGTTCCTCTGAAAGGCCCGCCCTTAAGTGACTCTGATTGGTCACCATTATAATGTGCTGCGATTGGCAAATCGGGTCCACGTCACGCCCGTAAAAGCATGCACTTTTCTGCTGTGTAAACCTAAGTCAACCTTCTGCCTGCTCTCTATAATAAAATCTGACAAGTGTCTGTAACGAGTGAAAATGGGGTGCAGCTCCTTTAATAGCGTTTGCGTGTATGTGTGGTGTGAATGTTGTCTCCATTTATGTCTGTGTGTGTGTGTGTGTGTGTTTGTGTGTGTGTGTGTGTGTGAATGTATGTGTGAATTTTCTGTAACATGCGCATGTGCGCAGGACTTTCTTTTTCTCTGATGCTTGCATTAAGTTATTTTCTGTAATATATCGTGACAGAAGAATAAAGCACAAGATGTGTGATGCTACCTGTTTGAGCCTGAATTTATTTTTCTGCTGCTAGCACTGTATTTTTTTTAACTCAACGCGTAACACAATGTCTTTCACGTGTATCCGGAATATGCATGTGTAAGTAATATGAATCATCCACATATCCTTTGTGACTTCATTATCTGAGATGTGAAACGCATGGAAAAGCTGCCTGAAGACGTCAGTGCAGTCGCGAGCGTGCACACACATAAGAGACACGAACATGCTGGTGGAGTGTGTGTGTGTGTTTACAGCAGTTTGACTGATAAATATGAATTTGTAGCTCAATCATTTGCCCGCAAAGCAGCATTTCGCATTGTTTACATCATTGCTACAGCATACCGTTAACGCTAAACACTGTACATGTCATGATCAATTTTAACTAATAAAAACACTTACAGGTTGTAGATCACAGCTTCTGCTGAGGAGATTTTAGCCAAATCCAGCACTGAACTGGGAGAGATTCTGGAGCTGTTTTGTCAAATCATGCTTGCTGTGGGTTTTATAATTCTCTGGAACATAATTAATATTGAACTAAAGGCACTTCTGTCTTTGTGTTATGTCCTTTGGAAGCCCAAATACAGAAACAGAAGAAGCTCTGTGGAAACAGCCGTGTTTAGATGCATTTTTAGCTTCATCTCTGCTATAACGTTACAGCGCCTCTGGCCACGGCCCTTACCTGCATGCACAGTTTGGATGCGCAGTAACGAACTTTTGTGATCTCACAGGGGCCGGAAGTATTTTTTGTAGTCCCCAAAATTTGTTCATTGTAGGCTTTGCTAAGCTAACTCTGTAAAAACCAATGTCTCCCTTTGCATTGAATTAGAACTTTTTACATTCAGAGATGTTGTTTATGTTCTCACACCTACATTACACATCAACTAAAGTTTAACACATGACATCATAGTGGACCACCTGTTTAAGGGTGATGTAGGGTTTTCATTTCTATCCGTCATCTCTATGTGCAATATGTTGTTGTCATCCATCCATGAAAGAACAATACAGATTCAACTTCTTAATATTATTTATTTGCTCGCTTTCACTACAACGCACCGGCAAAACATCAGTGCCACGAAGAGGAAGGAAATCACATAAAAGTACTCGGAAGTAAGTTCAACATTCACAACCGGAGTCAAAATAAAAGTCCTGTTTGTTTACACTTACGCACAATGAACTCTTGCGCATTTTTGGCATACAGCAGTAAGTAGTAAAATCCAAGAAATAAATAAACAAAATACATAACAAAACATAAATTTATAGGATTAATGAGAACATAAAACTCAACACCCCCACTTGTTCTCATCATCTTAAGCCATGTAGAATGTCATCACAAAAATTTAATTCCCAAACAGAAATCCTTTGAACTTTAGAATTTTGATCTTTGAAACAGATTTTGTCAAAATATCTGCCACCATGTCTTCTGTTGGGCAATACACAATATGTATTTTTCCCTTACTGACAGCATCACGAATAAAGTGATATTTCACATCAATGTGTTTGGACCTAGATCTATTCACTGGATTTCTACTCAGTGCAATGGCCCCTTGATTATCACCATACACTGTAGTGCAAATGTAAACACTACTGTCCATGTCATTTAGCAGTTGAGTTAGGTACATGCTTTCTTGAGTAGTGTTTGCTAGACCAACGTATTCAGCTTCGCAGGTCGACAGTGCCACTGTCGGCTGTTTCTTAGACTTCCATGAAATAGCAGGGCCTTGTTCTGTCAGGCTGAAACAGTATCCTGAAGTGCTACGCCTATCTTCTACAGAAGATGCCAGTCAGAATCACTGAATGCTATTAGACTTAAAGTCTTGTCTGTTTTCTTGTAACACAACTCGTAGTCAGCTGTACCTTTTAGTTATCTCAGAACATGTTTAGCTGCTACTAAGTCATGTGTTTTAGGCTTTGCAAGGGTTTGTGATAGTTTACTGACTATCCAGCTAATGTCTGGTCTGGTACAGGTCATTGCATAGATCAAGCTTCCAACAAGTTCACGATATTCTTTGGGGTTCTCAATTTCGTTGTTGTTTTCTTCCTCATTTATATTACACTCAACTTTTAACTCACTTGGGGTAGCTTTTGGTTTACAGTTTGACATTCCAAACCTTTCAAGCATTTTGAGGATGTACCTTTTCTGATTCATTTTAATTGTTCCTTCTTTTTGTTCAAACTGAATCCCCCAAAAATAAGATATTTTCCCTAAATCCTTCATGTTAAATTTGGACTTCATTATTTCTTTAAAACTGTTGAGCTGATCGTCACTGCTTGCTGCAATTATCAAATCATCTACCCAGATGATCACTATGATTGTCTCATTTTCAATTTGTTTTCTATACACACAGTAATCAGACTGATTTCTCTCAAAGTTGTTTTGTTCCAAATGATCATTTAAAAGTTTGTACCAGTTTCTTCCAGACTGCTTTAGGCCATATAGGGATTTTTTTTAATTTGCATACTAACTTATCTCCTTTGTCAGATGTTTCTTCAAAACCCTCTGGTTGTTCTAAGTATATGTCTTCCTCTATAGGAGCATGCAAGTATGCTGTCTTGACATCCATCTGATGAACTGAGAAATTGTTCTGAGCAGCTATCTGCATTAATGCCCGTACTGAGGTGAGATTTGCTGTAGGAGCAAATGTCTCATGGTAATCTATGCCTTCAGTTTGGCTGTATCCCTTCGCAACATACCTAGCTTTGAAGATTTTTCCTGTTTCTGCATTTTCTTAAGGGCATATACCCATCTTCCCCTTACTGTCTTTCTGCCCTCTGGTAGAGTTGTCAATTCAAATGTGTCATTTTCTTTAAGTGAGTCCATCTCTTCTTTCATAGCATGCTCCCATCCGGGAGCCTCAGGTGACATAAGGGCCTCTTTATAGGTTTGGGGGACTCCACACACTGCCCTGTAACAATAATCAACACTCACATTGGTTTCGTCATCTTTGGAGTATGTCAGATAATCTTGTAAATACTTTGGGGCTCTCTTTTCTCTATTTGAGTGGTAATGTTTTTGGCTAGTCGTGACAGTTGGAACAGTACTGTCTTTGTTGTCTTCTGTGTCTACTTTATCTGTAGTTCCATCATGTTCTGACACCTCTGTATTGTCTGTATCAATACTCTCCATGTTCTCATCTATGACCCTGTTCTCTGTGCTTTCCTCACTTTTTGGGGTATCACCACTGTTCCCACTATCCTGTGTCCTATCTCTGTATTATATTTCTAAGTATTCTTCATCGGTTTGTGTCTGTTGTTCAGCACTGCTCTTCCTAATGAATTTCACCAATCTATGTTTTGACACCTTTTCTGTCTGTGGATTGTATACCAGATAAGCTGGGCTATTTTTACTGTACCCCACAAATATTCCCTTCTCACATCTAGGATCCAATTTCTTATGATTATGTTTGTACGCATAGCATTCTGGTCCAAAAACCCACATTTTAGAAAGGTCTGGCTTTCTTCCTGTCAACATAAAGTATGGAGTATTCTTAAATCTGTCATTATAACATCTGTTTCGGATGTCAGTTGCAGTTTGGACAGCATAAGGTCACAGAACTTTTGGTAATCCCTTCTCTATTAGCAGACACCTTCCCATTTCAAAGATGGTTCGCCATTGTCTCTCAGCTGTACCATTTTGATGCGGAGAGTAGGGCGATGACGTATCATGCCTTATACCCTTTTTTTCGTAAGAGTGATTGAAATGCATCGCTTGTGTATTCTGTACCATTGTCTGATCTTATGCATTTGACTCTACCGTATGGTGCACTGTCTGCAAGGAACTTCTCTGTCGCTAGAGTAGTGTCACTCTTGTTCTTAAGGAAGTTAACAGACACTGCCCCTGAAAAATCATCTGTAAATAAAACTGCATACTTATATCCATCTTGAGAAGTTGGTTCAATGGGACCTGCTAAGTCAGTGTGTACCAACTCTAGGGCCTCACCAGCTTTTGTGTCAGTTTTCCTATTTCTGTTGTTGATAAACTTTCCCTCAGTACAAACATTACAGTCTAATTTGGTATTTCCTGTGATTTTCATACCCTCAACCACTTCAGGTAGTTTCAAGACATCACTTACATTACAATGTCCCATGATCTCATGCCATGTTTTAACATCACAAGTTAGACTCACTTTGTCCTTGGACATCATATCAGTAACTGATACATCAACACATTGTTTGTTGTTATTTACCGTTTTCAGATAGTATAGTCTCTCGTGCTCTTCTATGCGGAACACAACTCCATCTTTGCTTATCAGTTCATTCTGTCCTTCCTGGAAGATCACCTTGGCCCCATCTGTTGTAGCAGCTTGAACGGAGATGATGCTCTGTGGGTATGATGGTATGAACAAGGCCTTCTTTAGAGTGATCCTGACGCATTTCCCTTCTACGTCCAGTAGTACCACCTCTGCATCGCCCCGCATCAATGCAACATTGTTCATCCTGGCTCCATCCGCTAGCTCCATATAGTGTGATTTTGGGTCGAAGCTCTTGTCAAATCTCGTGAAATTGTTTTTCTCTGTTAAGATGTGGGATGTTGCTCCACAGTCTACCATTAGTCCATTTTGTGTAATGTTGTCTGGAAGAAATGTTTGACTGACTTTGAACACAAATGTTTGTTCTTTCTCATGCTCCTCTTGTTTGTCTGCTTTGCCTGTTTTGCTTCATCTTTGTGACCATCTTTTCTCCGGCGGCATGTCTCATCACTGTGTGTTGAACTTCTATGGTAGTTGCACCACTTTGGTACGCCTTTTTGGCGGCAATCGCGCGCTATATGACCGCGATTTCCACATCCGTAGCAGGTCACGGATGCTATGTGTACTTTCATCACATTGTCAGATTTGGGTTTATCATCAAATTTTTCTGTCTCTTCATAGCTTCTTAGTTTGCTTTTGAACTGGATAAAAGTCAACTCTTCACTACTCTGTGTAGTATGAATAGCGAAAGGTTTGTAGGAATCTGGTAGTCCCTTTAGGATCATAGCTATTATCAGACCGTCACTTATCACTTCTTTTGCGTTTCTTAGTGAAGTCACCGCTTTCTCAGCTCGGATAATGTAGTCCGTTAACGTCTCGTCAGATTCCTTCTTTAACGAAGTTAGTTCAGTGTATAGGGCGATAATTCTAGGTTTACCTTGACTAGCGTAGTGATTTCGAAGTATTTGCAGAGCTTTCCTGCCATCATCAGTCGCCTCCCGCATCACCAGTGACAAACTTTTATCATCGAGAAATTGAATTAATTTAGCGTAGCACTCCTCGTTTGTCTTCTCGTCTATATCCCCGGTAGACAGTATGGTTTCTTTTAAACCCATTATTCTCAAATGTCCAAGAAATTTTACTTCCCATAGTTCGTAGTTGTTTTCGTCTCCGTCGAAAACTAGCCTCTGCCATCTTCCTCCTGTAGCACTGGCGCGCCTGGGCCCATAACCTGTAGGGTTTTCATTTCTATCCGTCATCTCTATGTGCAATATGTTGTTGTCATCCATCCATGAAAGAACAATACAGATTCAACTTCTTAATATTATTTATTTGCTCGCTTTCACTACAACGCACCGGCAAAACATCAGTGCCGCGAAGAGGAAGGAAATCACATAAAAGTACTCGGAAGTAAGTTCAACATTCACAACCGGAGTCAAAATAAAAGTCCTGTTTGTTTACACTTACGCACAATGAACTCTTGCGCATTTTTGGCATACAGCAGTAAGTAGTATAATTCAAGAAATAAATAAACAAAATACATAACAAAACATAAATTTATAGGATTAATGAGAACATAAAACTCAACAGGTGAACATTCTAAAATAATGATCGCCTAGGAAAACTGACTCCTGTATCCAGAATATTTTAAACCCATCAGCAAAAGGGTTAATAACAGTAGTAAAGCAGCGGTGGGCTTATTTTAATTAATTTAGCATTAACTTGTGTGTGGTGAAAACCTGTGTGTGTGTGTGTGTGTGTGTGTGTGTGTGTGTGTGTGTGTGTGTGTTGAGCTGATGAACTGAGGATTGTCCTCTCACACACTCTCTCCATAGTGACAAAACAATGCAGTGACCCCCACAGCTTGTGGACAGAACTGATTCATGAAGTAAAATTTGGAATTATTTTGCGTGAGGTCCTGACTCTCTGTGGTCATTAACAATCCCAGAGCAGTTCTCGTAAAAAAGTAGGAATGTAACCTAAGTGTCCTGGCCAAATTCCCTCCATTGGCCCTTATCCATCATGGCCTACCAATCATCCCCATCCACTGAATTGGCTCTATCACTGTATCTCCACTCCACCTACAGTTGGTGTGTAATAAGCACTTGTGTTCTGTGGCTGCTGTTGCATCATCCAAGTGGAGCTGCACACTGGTGGTGGTGTGGAGAGACCCCCCCCCCCTCATGATTGTGAAGCGCTTTGGGTAAATGGCCATACACAGTACATGCACTATATAAATACACATTACACTACATTGCATGTTGTTAACAGTCAGGGCAAAGCTCTGTGCCTCGCTTGAAGCTTGAGTTTAACTGTACTGACACTATGCAGCTGTGTTGATGAATCACAGTGATTTTACCGTCTTCATTCAGTGGATGGGGAAAACTGCACTCCTACATCCCATTGCGGTGGGTCTCAGATTTGCAGGGATTTAGATCCCTGGATTTATTTAAATGGCAGGACATTTAAAATAAGAGACTGACTTGTGTTTCTATGATTCTGTATAGTTTGACTATGGACGCACTATATACATTATTCTGAATATTATTAAAAACAATCTGAAATATTAAATAATAAACAATTATTCACAGCATTTTGGAGTGCTGACAATATCAATATTGTGGATGTTCATTAACATGATATATTGTATTATTTAATATCAGCAAATGTTTATTTCTTAGATGAAAGAAATAAGGACTTACAGAGCTCTTTTGGAGGTTTTGATGACTGCTGATAGTCTGATGAGACACTCGTCTGATCTCTGGAATTTCTGAAGCTCAAACTCCTCCAGCTCCTCCTCTGAGGTCAACAACACAAAGACCAGAGCAGACCACTGGGCAGGTGAAAGGCGAACAGATGACAGACTTCCACTACTGAGGTGAGACTGAATCTCTTTCAGCAGAGTTTGATCATTCAGTTCATTCAGACAGTAGAACAGATTGATGGATCTCTCTGGAGACAGATTCCCTTCAAGTTTCTGCTTGATGTAGGCAATTATTTCCTCTTTGCTCTGGTCTCTGTCATCCTGCTGTGTCAACAGGCCTCGTAAGAGTTGGTGATTGGACTGGAGTGACAGACCGAGAAGGAAGCGAAGGTAAAGGTCCAGATGTCCATTTTTACTTTTCAGAGCCTTGTCCACTGCAGTCTTCAGGAAATCGGTCATGCCTTTATTTTTGCCTATATGTGAAAAGAATCCATGCTTCTTTTCTCTGTCTAGAATCAGATGTTGATAAAGGGCTGCAATGAACTCCTGAATGCTTAAGTGAAGAAAGCAGTACATGGTACCAAGAATGATTCCTTTCTCCTCCTTAAAGATCTGGGTACACATGCCTGAGTACACCGATGCCTTATAGACGTCAATGCCACAGTCTTTCAGATCGCTCTCATAGAAGATCACATTGTTTCTTTCCAGCTGCTGGAAGGCCAGTTTCCCCAGTGAAAAGATGAGCTTTGGATCCCAGGAGACATCTGCTGTGTTTTCTCCATCATACTTTCTTCTGCTCTGCTGGATCTGAAAGCGGAGAAAGTGTGTGTACATCTGTGTCAGAGTCTTGGGAGATTCCTGCAGTGTTTCAGCATGAGCCCTGTGCTTCAGTTTCAGTATGTTCTGGAGAACAGTGGCTGAAATCCAGCAGAAGACTGGAATGTGGCACATAATAAAGAGACTCTTTGACTGTTTAATGTGATCAATGATTTCTCTGGCCTGATTCTGATCTGTGAGTCTCTTTTTGAAGTACTCCTCCTTTTGGGCATCATTGAATCCTCGTATCTCTGTCAGCCAGTCGATACAGTCAGCAGGAATCTTACTGGCAGCTGCTGGTCTGCTGGTGATCCAGATGAGAGCAGAAGGAAGCAGATTTCCCTTAATGAGGTTCGTCAGGAGAACATCCAGAGAGACTGCTGAAGATACATCATGACACGTCTCATTACCAGCAAAGTTCAGAGGAAGACGACATTCATCCAATCCATCAAGGATGAACAGGACTTTGAATCGTGTGCTTCTTGTAAGGTTCAGTCCTTCAGTCTCTGGGAAAAACTGAGTTATGAGGTCTTTTAAACTTTGTCTTTCTTTCTCCTTTAAGTTCATCTCTCTGAATGGAAGAGGAAATATGAAGCTGATGTCTTGATTTTCTTTCCCTTCAGCCCAATCCAGAACAAACTTTTGCACAGAGACTGATTTCCCGATGCCAGCAACTCCTTTTGTCAAGACAGTTCTGATCTGCTCGTCTTGTTCAGCTGCTTCAAACAAATGTTTGCATTCAACCTGTATCTCTAGTGACTGATGACGTCTGGAAGCAGCTTCAATCTGTCTGATCTCATGTTCAGTGTTGACCTGTTCACTCGCACCCTGAGTGATATAGAGATCTGTGTAGATGTTATTCAGAAGTGTGGAGTCTCCTTGCTGAGCAATTCCTTCAAACACACTTTGATATTTCTTCTTCAGGGTACATTTAAGCTGATTAATGAAGAACAGCTCACCTAAACACAAGAGCAAAGAAACAGAGAGATTTATTCTCAACTTATTTGTAAGTGACAGTCTGACAGTTGGCCATGAGTAAGGCCAGACAGAACTTTCAGACATTTTTTTGCTATTTCTGTGGATAATTTTGTAAAATATCTGCAGATTACTGCGGAATGATTTTGGGAATATCATAACTTTGGGATAATCATAAATAAAAATTAACTATATAAAATAATAAATAAAAAATAACACCATTTTAACTTGTAAAATAATAATATTTAATAGTATGTAATGTTTACGATACAAATCAAATTAGATCCACTTAGTTGCTAAACAAAGTAAGTCTTTCATATAACAGATGTACTAAAGGACAGAAAATATGACTTTACCAACTGTACTGTACATAAATCAAACGAACATTTTTATATTTGTCAACAATATTGCTAAAATTAATTAAAAACTGAATAAATAAAAATGCGCACAAGTAAATAAATAGACTCAATGATGGGTTAAAAATCTGAGGAAATCTGCAGGTTTTGTGTGGGTCTATCTATGAGTCTCTTACCCTGTAGAGTATCAGCAGCTTGATCTTGCTTCATCTCTCTCAGGAAGAAGAGTGTGAGATCAAGAGCTGCTTCTGTGATTCTGCTTCTGTTCTCATTAAACTCCTTTACAAACTCTTGTCTGTTTTCTGCATGTAAGATTTTCTTAAATTTCTCCAGTTCATTCCTCAGAAATCTGATCATTTTGCTCTCAAGAGTCTATGATTGAAGAAAAGAGAAATACAACATTTAACCAAAACATTAATTTGCATACAGTTCCACAAACTACTGAACAGTTAAAAATACATTATAATACATTATACTACAGGACCTTTCTTTATTTTATTGGCTGATCAACAATCTAGGGTGTGCACTTATTCTCAGATAAAGTAGATTTAGACAGGCATTGAGCACATTTATAATTCCTGAATGATTTTAGTTATTTCACAGCTACAGGAGCCAAAAGTCACATCAAAACACAACAGAGGGTTTTGGATTTGTAAGATAAGGATTTGTAATGATTTGTCTTATTAACAGGAGCTGTTTGAGGACAAAAAGCTGTCAAATGTCTGTAATACAACATCTGAACAGTGGCTTTTAAAGTGGAAACATCAGCATCTCAGAGAGCATGTTTTTTTTTGTGTGTTTAAAATAACTAATAATTTGTGTGTGTTTATACTCTTAATAGACACCTAAACATTGATGTTTTGGCTAAAACGTTCGAGATTACAGAAGTAACCCTTCGTTCCCCGAGGAGGGGAACAGAAGTGCCATAGAGTAGATTGATTGAAATCCACGAAACGGGAGGATTCGGATCAGAAGCCGCTTGTCTGGAGATTATTGAACGGGCCAATGAATGAAAATGAATTGGCAGCGTAAGCTTGCGCAGGTGCGCTGCATCGCCAATTATCCCAGCATATAAGCACACCTGAAGCGAGCAAACACCATCCTTTTCAGCTGAAGAGACTTTCAAACAGCTAAGGGACAGTCATTATGGCGACGGAGTATGGCACTTCCGTTCCCCTCCTCGGGGAACGAAGGGTTACTTCTGTAACCTCGAACGTTCCCCTTCGGTTGGGGAACATCAGTGCCATAGAGTGGATTGATTGAAATCCACGAAATGGGAGAAGTATGGAAAGCGCCATAATGACTGCACCTTACCAACGCCCCCGATGAGGGGATAGTCAAGCAAGCGTGACGCACCCACATCATGGGAGGCGCGGTCCTCCAACGTGTCCCTGGCCCTAATTTATCCTACTTCAACAGAAGTCTTACGGATTTAGATATATTTTTTGGGAAGTCGTGAGCATCTAGATAACTCTAGGAATACGACAGTAAGTTGGGAAGCGTGCAATCCCGATAGGGAGGACGCTGCGGAGGCCATCCGTTACCCAAGGGGGAGATAGATGGCAGTACTTACATATGGATTAGCCCTAAAAAGGGGGAGTACGCATAGCAAAAGAGTAGTTAGCGGAGAGGGAAGACACGGGTCCGCCCAGGGGGGGGACTTAACCGTGGTGGAATAAGCATATGGGATCGCTTAGTGGGGATCACGCATAGCAGGCACCTATACCCAAAACGCGGGCTGACCAGCGGGCAGACCTACAACGTAGTGGGCCAGCAAGTGACTCCTCCGCTGAGTCAGTGCTGGGGGCCACGGAGGAATCTGCAGGGCTCACCTGACGGGGAACTTTACTGACAGATAAAAGGGCGCACGTATCTCCGTGTTAGGGAAAATGGCGCAGCAAGCATGTCTCAACACCCTATCCAGTTGTTTCCTCAATCACCAAGGGGTTACCTAATACCCTTGAGGAAACCGGCTCCACTCGCAGATTGTAAAACCTTGCAAATGTGTTGGGTGTCACCCAGCCCGCAGCAGATGTCTGTTAGAGAGGCGCCGCGTGCACGCGCCCAGGAGGATGCAACGCTCCGAGTGGAGTGTGCACGCACTCCCAGGGGACACGGCTGACCTCGACTCGAATAAGCGAGTGAAATGGCATCCACAATCCAGTGGAATAATCTTTGTTTCGATACGGCACTTCCCTGCTGCCGACCGCCATAACAGACAAAGAGCTGCTCAGATGATCTAAAATTCTGAGTACAGTCCACACGCAGCTGGGTCTGCCTCCTCCGGGGGCAGCGCTTGCAGGTTCACTACCCGATCTCTAAAAGGGGGTGGTAGGAACCTTGGGCACATAACCCGGGCGGGGTCTCAGAATGACGTGAGAGTAATCCGGCCCGAATTCCAGGCACGAGTCACTGACCGAAAATGCCTCCAGGTCCCCGACCCTCTTGATGGAGGCCAACGCAACCAGCAGAGCTGTCTTCAGGGACAGAAATCTTAGAGATACTGATTTGAGTGGCTCAAAAGGATCGGCTCGCAAACTCGTTAGAACGAGGGCGAGATCCCAAGAGGGCATGAGAGGGGGGCGAGATGGATTAATTCGCCTAGCACCCCTAAGGAACCGGATGATGAGGTTATGCTTTCCCACGGTGCCGCCAGCTACCGCGTTATGATAAGCGGAGATGGCGGCCACGTAAACCTTGAGAGTGGAGGGCGACAGCCTGCTGTCCAACCTCTCTTGAAGGAAAGAGAGCACAACACTAATCTGGCAGTTTCGGGGGTCTTCTCTGCGAGAGAAGCACCATTCAGTGAACAGACTCCACTTCAGGGCGTAGGCGCGCCTCGTGGAGGGGGCTCTAGCCTGAGTGATGGTATTATCCACCGCAGCCGGTAGGTTACCTAAGTCTTCTTAGCATCTAAGGACCACACGTGGAGGTTCCAAAGATCAGGGCGAGGGTGCCAGATGGTGCCCTGTCCCTGAGAGAGTAGGTCCTCTCTCAAAGGGATCCGCCAGGGGAGGGCCGTCGCGAGGAGTGAGAGCTCTGATATCCAGGTCCAGTTGGGCCAAAGGGGCGCAACTAGCGGAACCTGCTCCTCGTCCTCCCTGACCTTGCACAGTAACTGCGCGAGCAGGCTCACTGGGGGAAACGCATACTTGCGCATGCCCCGAGGCCTCGGTCAGGGAAAAAAACAACTGGCAATGAGCGTTCTCGGGGGAAGCAAACAGATCGATCTGGGCCTCCCCGAATCGCGCCCTAATCAGCTGAACAGACTCGGGGTGGAGTCTCCATTCTCCAGAGCGTAACAGCTGTCGTGAGAGCGCATCGGCTGCACGATTGAGCGTGCCTGGAACGTGAATGGCGCGCAGCGATTTCAGCCGTGGGTGACTCCAGAGGAGCAGACAGCGGGCGAGCTGAGACATGCTGCGAGAGCGCATACCTCCCATGCGGTTGATATAAGCCACTGCCGTCGTACTGTCCGTCCTGACCTGCACGTGTTGCCGCTCCAGCACCGGTAAAAAGCGGTGGAGAGCGAGGAACACTGCCAACAGCTCAAGGCGATTGATATGCCAATGCAACTGGGTGCCTTTCCACAGGCCCGCAGCCGCATGCCTGCGACACACGGCCCCCCAACCCGTGTTGGAAGCATCTGTTGAAACAACAACATGGCTGGACGCCTGTCCTAGAGGCACACCGGCCTGTAGGAACGAGGGGTCGTTTCAAGGGCTGAGGGCGCGGTGACACAGCGCAGTAACAGAGACCTGGTGTGTGCCCGCGTGCCATGCGCGTCTTGGGACCCGATCGTGAAGCCAGTGCTGAAGTGGTCTCATATGGAGCAATCCGAGCGGCGTGACGGCGGCTGCGGATGCCATATGCACCAGGAGCCTCTGAAAGAACTTCAGTGGGACCACTACTTTGCTGTTGAGCTCCCTCAGACAGTTCAGCAACAGGCGAGCGTGTTCCTCAGAGAGGTGCGCTACCATGGTGATCGAGTCCAGCTCAATCCCGAGAAAAGAGATCCTCTGCACGGGGGCAAGTTTGCTCTTTTCTCGGTTGACCTAAAGCCCCAGTAAGCGGAGATGCCGAAGCACCTTGTCCCTGTGCACAATCAATTGCTCCCGCGAGTGGGCTAAAATCAGCCAGTCGTCAAGATAATTGAGTATGTGGATGCCCGCGAGCCGAAGGAGCGCTAAGGCACCCTGCGCGAGTTTGGTGAAGACCCGCGGAGACAGAGAGAGCCCGAAGGGGAGGACCTTGTACTGCCACGCTTGACCCTCGAACGCAAACCGCAGAAATTGGCGGTGGCGTGGAAGAATGGAGACATGGAAATACGCGTCCTTCAGGTCTATGGCTGCAAACCAATCCCGAGGACGAACGCATTGGAGAATGCGCCTCTGCGTGAGCATTCTGAATGGCAGCTTGTGCAGACAGCGGTTCAAAACGCGCAGATCTAGGATTGGTCGTGACCCACCGCTCTTTTTGGGTACGATGAAGTATGGGCTGTAAAACCCACTCTCCATCTCGGCTGGAGGAACTGGCTCGATTGCACCCTTCGCCAGGACGGCAGCAATCTCCTCTCGCAAGACAGGGGCGGACAGGGGGTTGACCCTGGAGAAATACACGCCCGTGAACTTGGGGGGCCGTTTCGCGAACTGAATCGCGTAACCGAGTCTGATTGTGCGTATGAGCCACCGCGAGGGGCTGG